CGAGAGTAGGCTTTGGTTTGGATTTGGCTCCCGTTGCTATTACTCACATCGCCTCAGAAGTCCCACACGCACTCACGCTCCCTCGCTCCCGTCTCTGACAGATCCCTTTTAAACGGCCGTTGATCCCTGGCATAAGTGGTGTTAAGAGGAAGATGGGCTTCTCGCAGAGATGCTCTGGAATCCAGTCTTGTACAGTCATGAACCTGGCCATCTGGAAGTCTCCTCTTGCTCAATGAAATGGAGTAAACATTGTCCATTATGAAATCCACCACACAGGCTGCCAGAGACGAATGGGATCCCACCCAAAGGCAATCGCTGCTCTGACAGGGAAATTGGCTAGCTCTGCCTGAGACTACTCCAGCCTCCCCCGTCCCTGATGTCACAATTCTGAGGCTGCTGCCTGCCTCGGAGGTTGTAGAAAGCTCTGTAGGGTCTCTCTGTGTGTCCTACAGGGTTCTGTGAGCCAGGTCCCTGCCTGATGGCTTTTATGAAAAAATATCTCCTCCCCATTGGGGGACTCTTCTTGGCCTACTTCTTCTATTCTGCACATGACGAATTCAGACCAGGTAAGTACCACGTGACTCATTTTGGAGGCATAGGTTTGAAACACAGGGGTTCTGGAGTATTCCTGAGGAATGAGATAAGTGCCTGACCCCCAAAGTGGCTTAAAAATACAGAGGGGGCCCTGAGTTGGTACTGTCTTCCTGTGTCCTCCAGCACAGGCAAGGAGCAGGAGGGATGTGGGGAGGGGGAATCGTGTAGTCAAAAGCTTGCCAAATAGGCCAGGCTTTCTTTGGCGCCCTGCATGGAACGCGATTTCAAGCGCTCTACAAAAATGAGGGTCATTCAAAACCGCAGAGCGCAGCCTGGTCATTGGCTCCATGGAGAGACTGATAGAGCGAGTGGGAAGCAGAACAGACTTGACAGCTGAAGGGAAGCGAGGGAGGAATGTCTATGGACACGTGTGTTCTTGACTGCTTTAAAATGTTTCTCTGAATTGGAAAGGAAAAAAAACCTGGGTACATCTAGAAATGCCTGGAACTCCGGGTACATGTACCCTCTAACCTTCTGCTTGTAAATTCTGCCCCCAGAGGGGTTTTCAGAAAGACCAGCAAGGAAGCCTGGCTGGCTTTGAGCAACGCGGCCAAACACCCCCAGCAGCTGCCTTCCAAGGTTGGCTGCACTTTGAGACCGGTTTATCAATGGTCATAGACCTTAAAGTGACACATCCAAAGACAGCTGCCCATGCCAGGTGGGGGGAGGGGGGAGGGGGAGGGGCCTGGCTGCCAAGTTGGGTATAGTCCTCACTTTCTTTTGGGGTTCCCCAGAAATGCTCCAAGGAAAGAAAGTGATTGTCACAGGGGCCAGCAAGGGGATTGGAGAGGAGATAGCCTATCAGCTGTCGAAGATGGGAGCCCACGTGGTGGTTACGGCGAGGTCAAAAGAAACTCTACAGAAGGTGAGGGATCCGTGCCACGAACATATATGCTCTCACAAGCGACATGCGTTCTTATGGATACACACGGGCACGCAGAGGTAGGCAGTGTCTACCAAACTCAGCCTCACAGCCATAAGTGGATTCTGACTCACAGCAGCCCTGTAGGTCAAGGTGAACTGCCCCTGTGGGTTTCTGAGACTAACTCTTTATGAGAGTGGAAAACCTCATCTTTCTCCCTCGGAGTGGCTAGTGCTTTGGAGTTGCTGACCTTGTGGCTAGCAGGAAATCACCAGGGCCACTTATAGGTCTACCTACACATATTCTCATATACATATATTTAAATATTTAATAGTTAAATGTGTCCTCTCATAAACAGGCTCAAACGCTCACAGGTAGATAAATATATACATTTGGGTGTTTACTCTCCTACACAAATCTATGCCACGTATGCATACACAAAGCTCTTGGGCTATATGTATGGTCATAGGCATGCCTATTCACGCACATTTGCACACGTAATCATAGATATGTAGGTATGCATCCAGACACCCAAATTCCAGTAGGTGCTCATGAATATATACCCTCATGCCCATGCCAGCTCCCTCTAGTCCCCGCAGACTCACAAACACAAGGATGTGAAACACTCACCTCCTTGGTGTTACACACACACAAAGCCCTTCCCCTACCCTTAACATGTCCAGGGATATATATTCACAAAAGCCTAGCACTCTAAATCATGGACATAATTCCCAACGTAGTGATAATTTATCCATTTACACCCCACCTGGTTCCAGAAAGTATTTCAGACAGGACAATGATCGGGTAGTTTTATTTAGCAACACCCCTGACGCCCAACACCTACCCCCACCCCACCCCACACACACACACTAGCACTCCTACCATTTCTTATCAAAAGAGGGTTGTGAGTAGCCTCTTGCTTAAATCACAGTTACTTCAGAGAATGGCCCCCAAAGGTCTGCCGCCAAGACCAAGACCAACGTCGCTGCTGCTGTGTCCCTACAGGTGGTATCCCATTGCCTAGAGCTGGGGGCAGCCTCTGCACACTCCATTGCTGGCACCATGGAGGACATGACCTTCGCAGAACAATTCGTTGTCCAAGCAGGAAAGCTCATGGGTGAGGCTGCTTCTCCTTCCTCCTCCTCTGACTTTGCATTCGGTGTCAGTCTCCAGGGAGCTTTAGGGAGGGACGGTTCCCACCCCAGAGTGTGTCTCTCAACACAGCCATCTTTTGCAGGGGGACTAGACATGCTCATTCTCAACCACATCACCAACACGTCAATGAGCTTGTTTAATAATGACATCCACCACGTGCGCAAAAGCATGGAGGTCAACTTCCTCAGTTATGTGGTCCTGAGTGTAGCCGCCTTGCCCATGCTGAAGCAGAGCAGTGGAAGCATTGTTGTGGTCTCCTCACTCGCTGGTGAGTGGAGCAGGGAACCATGTGGAAGGTAGGACTAGCAAACGTGCCATTGTTTATCCATTTCCATGAAGAGAAGTAACATGGTGTAAACTTGAACTTGAAATGCTCGCAGCACTATTTAGACAAAGCTGATGAATACACCTTCTTGCTCATCCACCTTCTCAGTAAGAGATACTAAGTAAAGATTTGAGTATATGGATTCAATGAGGGGCATGCATGCTGAGTAAAAGAGAGACCATTAAGAACAAGTGGGACTATTAAAAAAACAAACAGGAATTTGTCAGGGTTGGTGGGGTAGACAGTGCTTGAGAGTAAGTGAGAGAAACAGTTCTGAGTGATGGCAGCCACCAGAAGCCTGGTGGCTTGTGATTGGCAAATAGGAGACTGGGTGGACATTGAAAGCCAGCTAGAGGCTCCGCCTGTCCTCATCCTGAGACCTGGTCACATCAATACCACTTTGCTTCCTCCATGACCAAGAGTGGTTGCCCAACAAGGTAAAGCTAGAAGGGGCACAGCTTAATCAACATAGAGTTGCTTGGTAAGTGAGAGAAGCCAAGGTAAATGAAATGAGCCGCAAAAGGAGGCATATTATTAGTAACGGATCTACCTATCTTTTGAGTGTCCCCCAGATTTTGAACTGGCGACATTACAAACCCAACGTAAAGAACCAACTGAAGAGAGAGGTGGTGTGCAGAGGGCTATGTGCGATCAGGTGCGGTCCCTAAGGCCATAGAAGAGCCAGAAAGTTTCCACTTGAGGGATTTCTAGGCCCAGATCAGCAGCAGTCCAGGAGAGCGATGTTATCTCTCTTTGTGGATCTGTCATTTTGGAAGAATCTGGCTGGAGGTGCCTCGAACACAGGGCACCAAATCAACCTTCTCAGTGTGACTTCTGGCAATAAGAAAACCAGTAACCCTGGGCATGGTCCTTTGTGAAGTGCTCTACACACACTAGTCATATGGTGTCTAATAATACCATCGGCATTGTAAAGAGTTCTCTTTTCGGCCTGGGAAGGTCTGACTGGTGATGCACTTCCCCACAAGGGAAGTGCATCTTGCGCGGGACCAGCCAACAGAGTGATTGATATGCATCCCCGTGCTTCCAGACAACACAGACTCCCCACCCCTCCCAGACACAGCCTCTCTCCGGCTGAAAGGAAGAGAGAGCTTCCGGATGCATACTGAGTGGGAGGGTGCTGGGCACATCCCCAATCCATCCAAGGACATCAGCCCAAACCTTCAGATCAGCTTTCCTGATTTGAGTTGAGTCAATAACATCCACCCTAAGATGCGCTTCACCTTTGACTGAAGAGCTGCCATGTCAATAACACTCCCACAAGCTGGGTACACTCAGAAGGAGGCTGTTCACCCTAGAAGCCCAAGGGCATGATGAAATTCCAATAACCCTCTGTTTCCACATGACTTCTACACCTATCAAATGCCACTGTGTATTTTCTGTAGACTCCCTGGAGATGAGATCTAGTTGGATTTCTTTTCCTTGTGTCTAGTGTTTATGAAGCTGGGAGCATTCAGTTTGTTTGCTTTGAAGCGTGTCTGTGAACTTGCAAAATGCAGGCACGTTGCTTTCTCTCCCTAAGTGAAGAACAGTCTCTGTTCTGTGGCACATTCTTTTGAACAGCATGCATAATCACACTCACCAATCCTTCCTCTGTAAATTCTGGATTCCACAAACACACGAGAGGAACCCTCAAATTGGTCCTGAAGTAAGCCAAAGAGAAAGGGGGGGGCATGGCTAAAGTTCATCACCCTTCCAGGGAATGCACTCAGCTGTTTGTTGGAATTCAGTGACAGGTGCTTGTTTCCCCAATGCGTTTTTCAGGTATTGAGTGACATTGCCGAGGCAATGTGTGCTTCTGTCTGGTAGTATTCCACGTGCTCGACAAAGGCTCAGCATCGTCACAGGCATCAACATGGGCAGCAATGGCTCTTCTGGGAAAATCTTTCTACATCCGTTGGGCAGCACCTTTGGTTTGTTTTGGTACCTGCTGATTGAGCCTGCATGTGTGTGTGAGCCTGCATGTCCATCTCTCCTCCTTCCCCTACATATTAGTTTGAATCTAAGTTCAGTTGCTATAACAAAGACCCAAGCTTACAATAGTTTAAACAATTAAAACAATGCCTCTTCTTCCATACAACAGCCTAGGGGGGGATATGCAAGGCTAATATGGTAGCTATTTCTGTGACATGAGGTTGCCCAAGGACAGACTCCTTCTATCTAACACTGCTATCCCTAGAGTGTTATCCTTCTGTTCACGTCCAAGAGGGCTCATCGTTCTGTGTGAATTTCAGCAGAGACAGTGGAGATGGGGAAAAAGGAGGCTATAACTCAACTTGAAATTTGGTTGCATCCCTCTTGCTCACATCCCAGTGGCCACCTAAGCCATTGATTCTGACTTGTAGTGACTCTGGAGGGCAGAATAAAGCTGGACCCCCAAGGCTCTGAATCTTTTTGGAAGCAGATGGCCACATATCTCTCCTGTGGGATGGCTGTGAGGTTTGAACCACCGACCTCTCAGTTAGCAAGCAAGCACTTAACCCCTGTGTTACCAGGAGTCTTCCAGAGGCCAGACCTGGCTGCAATTTTGGTTGTTATTTAAAGTGGTCATGCACAAAGCTCAACATCACAGGTTGTTTCCCCAAAGACATTGTTGTTGGTCAACAACTGGCAGTCTCTCCTGTGCCACCCATGCCAAGAAGCACATTGAGACTAGGAGAAAGGCCACCCTCCAATCTACCACCCCTACCGCCTACCTCGCCCCCCCCCCCCCACACACACACACACAGACCCACTCTCACTCATCTCCAACATCCTTCACAAAGACGCATCCCTTCCATCAGGGGACAGTAGGAGATGCAGAAGAAAGGAAAAAGAGAATGCCTGTGTGGTGTTTACGGAACAACTGAGACCAAGATATTAATACTTGAATTCGATTGAAAAGAAAAATCAGTGGATTGGGCAGGGAACAATTGGAAACATCTGGAAAAGATTTACCTCCCATTAGTTAAAATGGGTCTTCTTGACTAAGATTCAATTACATTAAAGTAAAGCCTATTCCATGCCTGGGCTCCTGGCTTTGTGAAACCCACAATGTGGCCATCATGTCAGTTACACGCAGTGGCTAGAACAGTTCTTAGTGCTGCTGCGTCTCCCCTCCTTCGCTGCCGCTCAAGGAAGCCTTGGGCAGACCCTGTCTCCTCGCTGTTCCTTTTCCCTGAATCACTTTAAATCCCACCTCATCTGGCGTCTTTTTGGCTTCAACATTTCCTCTTCCTCTCTATCTACTGTTATTCAGTAAACTACTTTCAAAACTCAGTTTTTGGCTCTATTGGTGATACAAAGAATAATAATAATAATAATAATAATAATAATAATAATAAAAGCCCTAAACACTTGGAAAAAGCCTGTGTAGGCATAGTAATTCTTCTGGACCAAGAAAATTGTAAGTCATACTTTTAAGTGAAACTAAAAGTAATAAAAGACCGAGTTTCTTTAAACAATCTACATGAAAACACGTCAAAAGGCATAAAATAACTTGGCAATTAATCTCTGACTGCCTAGAAGGCCTTGGAAGATCCTTAAGCATTGCTAGATACCTATTTCTTTTTCTCCAAGTAAATCGTTCTTGTAAATAAATCAATATCCAAAATGCATATATTTTTAAGCCTTATCCAAAAATACTCATTTCTGATTTATTCATTCAAACAATGCTCCTTACTATTTTTTCGTGTACATGTGCAGTATTCCAGGCCCTCAGTGAGCTGAGTTTTTCAGAAGCCTGTTGCCAGTGGGCTGATTCCTCGTTGAGGAAGGAATCTCTGCAAAGGCAATGCTCTGTCGGAACCCTCAAATGGCCTGACGGGGTAGGTCACTTGTTGGGCCTTAACCAGTTTGTCCGGAGAGGGCTGCCTGTGTGGTCTAAATCTATTTCAATAACCCAAGATTAAGAGGGGGAGGGGGAGGAACCAACAGGTTTTTCAACTACATGTATCAACTAACAGCATATGGAATATCCACAATATTGTTTATATAAAGAAAAGAACATACAGATGTTAATCTCATCCCCCCTCCCAGCTCTGGGCTACCCACTGCTTTCTAATGGTTGGCCAATGCCTCAATGTATGGAAACTCTTGGGATACAATGGGGAGGGAGCTCAAAGTCCTAGATGGAAAGCAGCCTAGGACCTACACTGTAAAGGGAACTTTATCCCTTGCCTGAATAGTCCTAACTTGTCTAAGAAAAGATGAATTCTTATAATTTTAGTAAATGCAACCTCCACAGTGAGTCGAAGTGTTGGCGCACGTGAACACAGGAATTTAGATTTACCATGCCGTTGAAATATGTGGAGGTGAGCTATGTGTGTGTAGATAGATGGATCATCTATAATACCTGTAAGAGTGCCAAGAGGCTCAGAGTAATGGTCAACAACCAGGGCATACAACTTCCAGGGGTCATTGTTGCTTTAATTCAAGAAATTTTTTGTGGGTAGGGGTTAAGACAGAATTTACAAGGGCTTATCTAAGCATTCAATGTTGTATCTTTTCCAAAAGCAGAATAGAAGAGGTGGGAACTCGATGGGCAAGGTAGGAGAGGAGGAATTAGACATGACAACTACTGCTTCCGTGGTTTCTCCTGAATGGAGCTTAAGAAAGCAGCTGCCCCTCCTAGACCATAAGTATCCTTATCCTTCACATGTTCTTCTGCATGAAGATAGGTGGGTTCTACTGCCATGTGAATATATAGCTTATATGCCTATAGATTTATCCACCTAGAAGTTTGAGAAAGCTTACAGAAAATACACTTTCTTTGAAAATATATAAATAGGATTTTTTTTTTCTTCTAAACCCACTGCCATCAAAACGCCACATCCCCAGCCTCATGTCCTCCCATTGATGATGTTGATTCACCTTACGGTTATTAGGCCAATGCTTAACCCACCATGCCATCAGGGCGCCAAATAGGACATTGGGTCTTAAGAAAA